AAAAAAAAAAAAAAAAGAAAAAAATAAGTTTTTTAAAAAAAAAAAAAAAAAAGGGGGAGGGGGACATTTCGACCAACTTCACCGTCCAGCAAAGTGTCCGATATTGACACTTCTATATGTTGTCATAGATAAATTGACTGAAAGTAAAAAATAGAAATCCATTGAACTTCTTGCTGGCTTTATAATCATTTTTTTAAATGAGATAAATATTTTTAGGTACTGTTTATTTTATCAATTCAAGTTTAGAATTTGAATTTTGTTACAGTAAAAAATCTCTCAGAAATAGTCACATATAACTTTTTTGTTACAATAAAAAGCTATAATATAAAGTCACATTTTAACTCGAATTAAAAACTTGAATTAGCGAACTAAACATGCTTTAAGTGTATCAATCTGAATTTTTATCCCTTATTTTTTTTTTTTATAGAATATTAACTTAAAGTAAAAGGTAAAAATGAAAACCATGCACTCTAAATGTAAGAGTAAAATGTAAAAATTAAAATTTATCCACTCTAAATGTAAATTGAGTAATTTTCTCTCTTTTTAAGCAAAAGAAAAAGAAGAGTAATACAGACGTATATGCAGCCCTTATAGACTTATAGTCATTCCATATATGAGCGCAATTGAGTTGAGGTTGGAATTAGATGTAGGAGAGAGGAAAAAGAGATGAGAAAGAAAGTGTGAAACACGGCCTGGTCATTTATCTTCCAACCACGGATATTTGAAAAATCATGAATCTGCTCTTATCAATACTCTTTTATTTCAAAACTGCAATTGAGTAAAATAAAAAATAAAAGAGATTTTAAGCTTAATAGTCCGTTTAAAAGGTATACTCAATTCTTAATTTTAATATTTAAATTTTAAATTTTTATAAAAAAATAATATTACAACATAATCAATTATTTAAGTTTTAATATAAAAGCCCGTTTAATTTATTAATTTGAGTTTTTAATTTAAATTTAAATATAATTTTATATAAAAAAATTTTACTATAATAAAAAAATTAAATGTGATTATTTTTTAAAATTTTTATTATAATAAAATTTAAATTGATAAAATAATCGAAATAAAAAGTGCTCGAAAAAGAAGGGCAGATAAAGTTGAACTAGTGAAGATGGTTGAGAATATGGAGCAGAGGACAAATTCTGAGAAAATGAGGAAAATGTCCAAAAACAAGAAAAACGTGTCAGAGTGATAGAGGAAGAAAAAGAGAGAAAAAGAGGATTTAAATCGAACATCGACGGAGGAGTCCGTTCATTCTTCCGTTGGTGATTTTCGTGAGTTGTTGACGTGTCAAATATTAATAGGATGGACAGAAAATTAGATAGATATATTCGACAGAGAATCTGAGTTCATAAAATAATATTTATTAACATTGAGATAGAACTCCATTACTCATAAAATAATGAGTCTCACTAAATTAAGTCTCATTAGTCACTACTTACTTAGGGGGTCCACTTTTGATGAGTAACAGAATTTTAACCCCATTTAAAAAAAATATGGGTGTTCGTAGAACAAAATAGAGCCATTTTTAATATGATCACCATCACATTAAATTAAATAAATATGTATAAGATATATTTTTTTGATACATATATCACTATTGAAAATGGAGACTTTTCGATTGTTTATTTTTTCAAAGAAATCTTATAGAAAAATAATTCGAACAACAATTAAAAATTTGAAAAATTAATGACATTGCTCAATTCTTTTTTTTTTTTCTAATACCGTAATTGACACTGCTGAATTTTGAGTATAGTGATATTTAAAAATTTTAATTTAGATTAATTTCATTAGTGCCTCTAAATTTTAGGGTTAATATCATTTTGTCTCTTAAATTTTAAAAACTCCCGCTTTGTTCTCGGACATTTGAATTGGTTTCATTTAACCCCTTCTGTTATGATTTCTGTTATAAATAGATTAAAAAAAGAGAGTAATGCAGTCATGTGTTCTATCTGTTTAAAAATCTGTTAAAAATAAACAGATAAAAACTGCATGATCACACTTACTCTTTTTTTTTCTATATGTTTTTAATAGAAATTACAATAGAAGGGGTTAAATGAGAACAATTCAAAATCTATAAGGTAAAGTGAGAGGTTTTAAAATCTAAGAGGTAAATTGACAATGATCTTAAAGTTCAGGAGCATCAATGTTAATAATCCTTTTAATTTTGATGTATTAGTCTCTAAACTTTTGTTGTTTTGACTACCTTAAAAATAATAAAATTGGCAAATAATTTTTAGAATTTAACAAAAATACTCATGTGTATTATAATAACTCAAGATTCTAAAAAAGAGTTTTATATGCGAATTTTTTTTCTACTATTAGAACTTATTAAAAACCATAACAGTTTACGCTTAGGCTCAGGCTCAAAATATGGAGACCAACAATATCAATAACCTTTTCTAATATTCACTTCTTTTATTAAATTTCTTAGTATGCCTTATGTATTAAAAAAAGTGATGGTACGATAGGATCTAAAAGAAATAGACTATTGCCACGATTGTTTTTCATTTGTTATATATGCAAGGTATCATAAATGGAAGGTTTTGAATTTTTTTTTATTTTAATGTGATTTTAACTGGACATTATTATGTATACTAAAGTAGAGGAAATATGCATTGTTCATGCAGTCACAATTTACTATTCATTATACGGTAACATTCTCGAAATTTAGCTTATGTCCCTTGTCCTTTGAGTGTGAATTGTCAATTTTACCATTTTTTTTCTTCTCTTTTCCCTTCCCTGCGCATGGGTTTTTGCTTCTTTCATTCTAAGATTGTCACGTGTCGGTGTCTGGCTGGCCGAAGGAAAAGTGGCAGGGACCCACCACTGTGAAGCTGTCATCTTCTCCCCGCTGAACGCGTTTTTCTTGCGCGTGCTTTTCACGCACGAATCACAACTGTTAAAATTTTTGATCAGACGGTTTCAAACCATTTCCGGTTTATTTTTTAGATTTTTATTCTTTATTATAGTTATTTATTATTTTGAATTGATTTAGTGTTCAATTTTGTCCGTTTTACCACCGTTTTGTATCAAATTTTTTATATTACTTAAAATAAAAACACTATAAATAATACAATAAAATTAAATAAAAATACGCTAAATTAAAATCAAATAACACCAAATTAAATAAAAAATAAACAAAATAAAATAGAATTAATTTAAAACACAACGCAATAAGTTATATTATTTTCCTTATCTCTTTGCTTAATATTTTTCCCTTTTATTATTTTTATTTATTTTATGTCGTCTTTTTTACTTCTTTTTTTTAAATAATTTGTATTAGCAGTTATTTTAAATTAATCATATGTGCGTAGTGCGCGTTTGAGACTAAAACTAACAAAGACTAAAAAAGAAAAATATTGACAAAGAAAGGTGTTGATTTTTGGTCTGATTTTATCCATTTTAATATCATTTTACACTAAATTTTCAAAGCTTCTCAAATGATAATAGTATAAATAATATCAATGAAAATTAAAATTAAATAAAGATACATTAAAATAAAATAAAATCACACCTTTTTAAATAAATTAAACTATAAATTATTTCAGTGGTCAGAAGAGCATCACAATCATTGATAAAAAAATCATGCTCTACATTAACAATTGATGAATATTAAGAATTGATGAAGGTTTTACTGATCTATTTGTAATTCCACCAATAATTTCTCAGTTAAAAGTACAAACAAAAATCTTGCAAGTTTATTTTTAACAAAGGGGAGTACAAATAACTACAGTTGTTTCAAAAATATTCGAACATGTCCATTTTTTAATACCACTACTATAAATATCAGCTGCCACAATAATATATCCAAAAACAGCAAATCTAAAAAGGTTGACCACAAGGTAAGACATATTTACTAATTTATATCAATTATCAACATAAATCAACATTTATTATTTTGAATACCTATATTAACAATATTTAATCATAACAGTTATGAACCAAAGGCAACAGACCCACCCAGAAACGCCCAAGGACCATGTAATATAACTACTTCTAAATCCTTTGATCTACACTATATATAATTAAAGATTTTCAACTTCTTTAATTATTATTAATAATATTTGTGTATATAAACTAATCATGTACTATAAAAATTTTTAACTTTTTATATAATACAACGGTATTTCCTGCAGCAACGCGCGGGTTTTTTTCTAGTAATAGCTCAAATTTAAACTACCAATATGTAATTTACCGTAAAAGACCTAAAAAATTATGATCTTTAAAATTTATCCACTCAAATATTATAGAATTCATATATTTTTAAGGGAATTTCTCTGGTAAAAGTGGAAAAATGAATTGTCTATAATTCTCTACCTTTCAGTTATTAGATTTGTATCAGAAAAATGTATATTTTATATTTTTTTTAATTTAATGTGATTTTAACCATATTTAACAATTAAAAACTGATCATATTAATAAGTCACCTTATCATAAGGTCCCTATTTTTACTAGAAAATTCAATTTTTTATAATTTTTTTATTTTTCTTTTGGATTTTTTTTTTCCTTTGCATTGATGCACAATTTACTGGTGTTCAACTCAAATCCCAAACTTTCAATTTTGTTGATAAATGAGATACTGAATTTGAAAGTCGCTATAACAGCTAATGAGCATCACATGCCCCACTAATTTTTTCACAGAATGTACCGAAACTTTTTAGTCTGACAAGTTGAACCTCAACTCTTAATTTTGAATTTGCGGCCTAATTGTTTTTTGATAACTGATATCCGCAATAATTGGATTGCATAGCCATGAATTGTTAAACATGGTCCGTTTAATTTGTTGATTCGAGTTTTTAATTTGAGTTGAGACGTGACTTTTAATGTAACAAAAAAGTTAAATGTGATAGTTTCTGAGAGTTTTTTACTGTAATAAAACTTGAATTTTAAAATTGAATCGGTGAAATAAACGGAACTTTAAAGTTCTAAATGTAAAAATAAAAAATTTTAACACCCAACTTGCAATGATGAAAAGTTTACATATATATATATATGTATATATATATAGATATAGACGAGAGTTTCTCCTATAGGATCAGAAAAATGAAACTTTCAACTGTTTTTAGTTGTTAGATTTGTATCAAAAATTGTCTGTTATGCATACTTTTACAATCTCATTTAATTTTGATAAGATCTAACAGTTAAAAAACTGGTTCAACCGGTAGACTAGAGAGAATCTGTATATATATTTATTTTTTGTCTTTAGTATTTAGAGCCCCTTTCTCTCTACATTTAGCACTAAGATTTTTTTTTTAATTTTTTTAATATGGACGTTTGTGTCTTAATTTTGTAAGCGACCTTTATCGGTATGTTAACATACCGGTAAGCCAGGTAGTATTTAGAGCCCCTTTCTCTCTACATTTAGCACTAAGATTTTTTTTTAATTTTTTTAATATGGACGTTTGTGTCTTAATTTTGTAAGCGACCTTTATCGGTATGTTAACATACCGGTAAGCCAGATTTTTTGGTCTGTTAAACACACATAAAATCATATAAAAGTTATTAAATACACAAATTTAATAGTTAAAAAAATTGACTTATCGGTATAACAGGTGTACCAAAAAATCTACCAATTTGTAATCAAGAATTTAGAAATTCATCCCCTAAATATTGGGCAGGCATATGTGAATAGAATTATCAGCTTTGTTGTCTCAAGTCAAACACAAATATGTCAATTGGTAGCTAACTCAATAATTGGAAGTGTTTGCCCATAGCAATCAGAACATGAACATATATTCTCAATAAAAGAGTAAAGCCAAAAAGGTTAGATAATATTCTCTTTATTACTGCACAACATGAGAATAGAAGAATTGGCACACAAGAGTTGAAATTTTAGTTGTGTTATTAATATATTTTTTAAAAACACAAAAGAAACAAAAAAATTAAAAAAAGAAAAAAAAATGAAGGGACTACCGCATGACAACACCGTAGAAAAGAACTTTAACTCTTTTATGTATGGTTAAATTCTCTATATTACATGAGTCTCACTAAATCTTCATTATTAATTTTATAAATAAACATATTATTAAATAAAAATAAATAATTTCTCACTTTTCCTTTCTCTTTCCTTTTCTCTTTTGATGCAAAGTAAAGATGCCGTGTTGAGAAATTACTTTCCAGTCATGAGAAACCAAATTAACCTTCAGAAACGGATAGAAACAGAAGGAAAAGCCAAATGCTTTACAACTTTCCATGATATTTCAAAAGCTAACAAGAATATTCCTTTCCTTGGAGAACAACAATATGCCCCAATCAACAAAACATTGAAAATGGAAATTGGGGCACAGTTTCTACCTACTAAATCATATATATTCAATCAGTAGGAACTCCTATGAACTAGAACTTAGAATGACCAGATTGTTTGATCAATCCCATTATAATGGGTTACTCCCATATCTTACAAACATGCCCGGGTTACTGTCAGATGAAAATATGGTCGGAGACCCACCGACCTGTTGAGAATAGTCTCCTCTTGGTATTCTGTCAAGAGGTTGTGCTGACAAGTATGAGTCCAAAATTTGACCCTTCTCCTGAGAAAAAAATCTAGTCTGTGGCCTATTGTTTGAAAATTTTCTGCAGGAAACAGAATTGCGGGAATACTCCGGCGCATATATAGTGTTGAAGATTGATGAGATTGGATCTACATTGGTATCGGCAAAATCTACGGTACTGAATGAGTCTCGGGTACTCTCCGTTGTGAAAGAAGCCTCATCTGAACTTGTGAAAATAGACCAATCACTCGATGTAGCATCAGAAAACTCCACGCCAATGGGCTCCGCACATGTTTCCATTACCGGAATGGCATTCCGGTTTGCACTCCTAAGGATGCCACTGGAGGTGTGGTTGGTGAAACCATTAGCAACGTCTGGTCTAATGCCTTCGCTTAAAGGCTCTGAACCAGCATATTGACCATTGGGTTTGCTTTGTCCCGGTCTTGAAGGCTTCGACAAAAAATAATGTGACAACTCTGGCACTTGCTTCTGGACGGCTTTGCTGGAGAGTGCTCTCTGAGGTCGGGGGCAAGACCTGGAAGGACAATAATTTAAGAACCCACTTAACAACACCCCTAATCCAGTGACAAGGACACATTCATTAGTAACAAAAATTGGAGTCCAAACATCTTATGACAAGAACCGTTTACACTACCGGTACTGGCCAGAAGAACTGGACAAATAATTACAATTTATGACCCTGAACTAAAATTATACCTCATGTAAAATAATATATATGCTCCTTCTGACATAACCTGGCTCATTGGAACGGGCTGGACCTGTTAACAAAGCATGATAAGTCTTTGGATCTGAACTATCTAAAAAACATACTTTAAAATGAAAACAAAGTATCAAGAATCCTCCAAACTCTTAAAAATAGATGGGAGAGGATAAAAAAATACGTCATCCCATAATGTGTAACCAAACAGTTGGTAGGACGCTTCAAGTAGATTTTAACTGCAAAAACATGCAGGAAAATATGTATATCTGTTTCAGAATGGCCATCTAAAGCTTCTGCCGTTTTTTTTTTTTTTTTTTTTTTAAAGCAAAAGACGGCTTCTGCTTTTTGTAAATTAGATTAGATGTTGACTGAGAACTCAAATCCTCATAACTCTTGAACTTATTTAAATACTGAAGGGGGATTACCTCAGTGTCATCTATCCTGAACCAATTTCCTTGCAAATCTTTCACGTATGATACATAATGACCGGAGAAAGATGCATTTAATGTATCCAAATGTACAACGACAGCATACAGCAAGTAGAGTGGAGGAATGTCACCCGTTCCGGTCATGAATGGAATCATATCAAGCATGTCAGGAAATGTAATGCACTTATTGATTTTTCCATATCTTCCTTCCTGGTGAAGAGAAAACATTATGCGTGGGATGATGAGAAGAGTAATAGAAGTGAAAACGTCAATTGATATCTATCAGCAAACGTCTTGAACCAGAATTCTATCAAATGAATGAAAGCGTGTGCCGAAACACCCAAAGGGCTACAGAATGGATTCAGTTTTTAAGAACTTGAAAATCGCCAAAAGAATAACATAACACTAGAAGTACTCCGTAGCAAAATGATACCTGAAATCTCTTTAAGACAATTGTCATGATATTTGGTGCCTCATGTATACTTAGCTGCTTTCTGGCTCGAACATATGTAGCACATCTTACCCCAACAAAAATAACAAAATCAATAGGTGAAAAGTCATTAAAGTTGTAAATTGGAAAGTTAGAACTTCTTACTAATGAGTTGTAGTTACGAGAAAATAAAATAAAACAATAAAAACTTGATCTCAAACCTTCCACATCTGTACATGTTTTCTCCGTCCAAATCTTCAGGCGTTGTAAACTGAGTCAATGCATCTTCAAGTGACTCAACCCACCCAAATATCTCTAATGTAAGGTCCATAATATTTTCATATCTTTCAGATTCATGATGACATCTCAAACACTTGACCTGGTTGCAGTAAGATTGCTTGATTCACGCTTAGTGCAACAAAAAACTTATTTCTTAAAGAAAAAGTACACAATATGTAATGATTGACTTGAGAGAATAAGAACCTTTGATCTTAGATGTCCCCCGAAAGTATGTTGTATAAAAGTTGTCTCTTGCAATCTGGGGTCTACCTTCTTTTCTCCTCCCAATCCCTCCAAGCATATAGCTTGCATTGACGCAACCAGAAGCCTGGACAAAGAGAGCATCAGATGATGTATGAAAGTATACATCTGCTTGACAAATAACAACTATACATCTAAACTATCCATGGACCCTTAGAAGAGAAGGCAGATAAGGTGGGTCCATGCAGGAACGCCTGCATCTCGGATTAAAATAATAGAGGCATTATGTAACATTCTTCGAACAAAAAAATTGGAATTTGAAGTTCTACTACTAGTAATCTGATCCAAATTGGCGTAAAAAGGAAGCAGCTGCAAAAGAACACAAGAACCACCATCTCCAAGAAGTATATATTCTAATAAAAATCAGCGGGTAAATTTGCAGACCTTAGGAACTCATGTGCATCTTCCTGACTTCCCTCACCAATATGGCAATTTATACTCCGCATGTGCAGAAGAATTCTGCTAGGGGAAAGAGGGCCTCCGATTTCTCTTAACATAATTACATGCTGCTCTAGTTCACACATGAGACACCAATCTTTATCACAACCTAACATGCATTAACAGATATAAGTAAGATACAAGCACATCCAAGAAAATACAACAGTTGTCATTTGTGAACATTATAAACTATCCCAAATAAAATAACGAAAAAACCAAAGAAATGCCTGTACATGCTCTTGAATGCGATCTGCGAAGCAAATAAATAATAAGAGGCTTTGTCGAGGTTAAACACTGCAAGACGGCATTCGCATAGCAACTGCAAAGACAATATATAATCAATTAAAAGGGCACAAAAGTCTCATGGAAAACACAAGTCATCCCAAACATTTGTAAAGAGCAGGTTTTCTATGTTAAATATCCAAATTAGCCACAAAAAATCAATCCTTCAGAATACAATCAAAAATCAGAAATTGAAAGTTGAAAACGACCAGATATTACAGTAAATGCCAGCTGATGTCTAAGTTAACCGGAAATAGATTCCATAAGATCTATATCTGCAACTTCCATTTAATGTGTTTTCCTTTTCCTCCATGGATTCTTCATTTTGTGAACAAAGTAAAAGTAATGATAAGGTACCTGTTTCCACAATTTAGAAGGCCCCGAGGTGACAAGTCAAACACCTCACACTGGAAGTACGTCACAAATTCTTCATAAGGAAAAAGCATCTATGACAGGCAAACAACATATCCATTATGAGAGCCTTGTCTAAAGTCTACAACCTAATAAAGAATTTCTGGCACAAAGGAGCAGTGGAATTGAAATAATGCAAGATACAGTCTACAAGAGAGTGACCTTAATTTTGTGTCTATCAGCACCAACTTCTGAGACATCCTTTCTAGGGAGTTTTGTTGGCTTCCCCAGGCCCATCATCTTCATAATCCTTGCATTTGCACCACCATTGCTTGCCTGTGTAGAAGTATCCCTCATTCTAGACGATTCTGCATAAAAACACGTAGAATTAGAGGACCTATAGAGCACAAAGTACTTTTTAAACACACTTTTCTTTTTTTCTTTTTACTTTTTCAGTTGAATGAGTTTACTACTCACTTGATTCAGTCACATGCCCCTTTCTCTCTCTTTCTATGCAAAACTGCTCTCCAGTCTCTTTCATAGTCGATTTTGTCAATTTAGAACTCTTGCTACCAAGGGAATACGGTGCTTTTTTCGCTTTTGCATACCCCTTTGCCTCCGCCATTTCAGAATTTTCCCCTCTAAGTAGATTCCCTCCATTATGAATGAAATCTTTTCCGTTTTCATGTCCATTGGATCCATTTTTGGATGAATAGGGTAAGTGCGACAGTCCATGATGACTCTCTGACTCTAATGTGTTCCCATTTTGACTTTCATTCTTATCATTCTCATGCACCGTAGCTCGTCCGTGAATATACACATCAGAGACATTGGGACTAGGCTTCTTTTTAGATTCTTCCGATACAATAGAGCTACTATTTCTTGACTGCATAACAGTTCAGCGTGTTTATTATATGTGGAACTAAAGTAGGATAAAAAAATAATGCTAAGAACAAAAGAGATGCCATGATAAAAACCTTATGGCCCTTGAAAACCTCTTTTGACGAAACAACAGTCGAAGACGTCACATAGGTATTCCAACTCCCAGAGGCTTCTTCAGAAGAATTAGATGTGACACCATCTTTCCTTCTTAATGCTTCTTTGTTGGATTTCCGGGAAGCCCGTTTTTCTGTACTTTTTCTCCCCGGCATGAGAACTTGAGATGTATCAATGGCTGAACAATCTACTGTAGCAGAGACACCTGTGCTAACTGAGGGATAAACTACACTTTCTGAAGGTGCTTTATCCGCCATAACCTGATCAACACTGTATCCATAATGCCGAGAATTCATGCTTTCATTAGGTAAGAGCCCCTCTTGAATGGATTCTTCAACCGACAAAGTCACACGAGGTGAGCTTGAGTTTTCCATCTGCTGGCATTCTTGCTTGTGAACTTCCCTCCAGTGAATTATTTGACACTTCCCAGAACTGGAAACGGGTACAAATATAAAACTTCAGAGATACCTCTAGCTAACAGTGCAAGTGTGCTGAAGAGAAATGTGCATGATGTGCAAATGACAGTAGAAAAAAAAAGGTTCAGAAAACTTTCAGAAAATAATAGCTGCAAGCATATTATCACAGGCGTAATTTTGGATTTCCAAAATTTTCCCAATAAGAATCGTTGTTGCCTTGTTGGGATGCCTGGAAGCTTAAGATAAGGAAAGAGTAAACCCTTGCAAGAATCTCTCACTCTCTCTTTAAGGGAACATCCTGACGCAAGTATTTGTGAACCCAAAACGTCTCCTCACATATTGTTATTGTTATTGCAACTGATTAAAAAGAGAGAGAGAACCTATTGTTATTGTTATTGCAACTGATTAAAGAGAGAGAGAGAGAGAGAGAGAGAACCATAACTCTTTTTTCTTTTCTTCCGAATATGTAAACTAATTTTATTCAGCAGACAGGAACAAGGAGTAAAGCAACAATATGTTTAAGGGGAAAAAACACGAAATTTTTTTAGGAAAAGGAGATGAATAATATTGATCTTTTTGAGAAAGCAAAATTCACAGTTTCTTTAAGGGCTGCATCTGACAAAGCTTTTAAGGGTTTCCCCTTTTCTTTGATTGTAATGAACTGGAAGGATGTAATAGGCCCATAAGCTTCTTTATTTTTTGTACTGGTATCTTGTTTTTCTTCTTTTCGGCGCGGATACCTTATCCTCTTTTTTGTAATTGATTCATTTAATCAATACAGTTTTTCTTATAAAAAAAATGTTTAATATGATGCAATGGTATGAGAATTTTTTTTTCCTCAAATAATCCATAGTTCCATACCCAATTAATTTTATCCTCTTCAGATTGTTTTGATATTTCGTCCATTCGGCTAAGAGCGAAAGAAAGTCTATTAATCTTTTGCTTATTCTTTAAACTATTCCCCCTTAGATTTCTTTGATATTTCATTCCGCTGGTCCAATGAGTGAAAAAACTATTTTTAATGTTTGACTTATTCTGATTGTTCTTGTTGTCTATATAGGACACTCCAAAATACACTTTTCTTTTTCAAAAAAAAAAAAAAAAAAGAAGAAATAAAATACTACATCCACTCTACACTTGCCCTGTGCAAAATCATATAGTAAAAACAGAAGGATGTATAGAAAACAATTTTTATTTTTGCGGGCAAGGATACGGATAAGACCATACCAATATCGGACAGACTTGCATCTGGAGCAGCGAGTTGTAGCTGGACTAAAGCACCTAGCACATGAATGAAATCCATTCTTTGTTGAAGCCACATTCTTAGTAAAAGGCACATTTTTTATTGGAGCCGCAAGAGGAATAACATCAGCAACCGCCATGGCTTCTGCTCTACGAGCTTCTTCAGCAGCCAGATGGGCAAGCAAATTTATCCTCTCCCTCTTCTTAGTAGTCTCACTCCATTTTCCAAGTAAAATGTAAGCAACCAAAGGAAGCACAACCAAAACCAGAAACAGGACGGGTATATCAGCTTCCCTTGGCTCAAGCATGTCCCCACCAGCATACTCATGACCAATATCCTGTCCAAACCACTACCCAGGAGATGATCTCTTCAAGTAACATAAGTCCAAGTAAATTAACATCTGTGACAGCATCATGAAATGCAAGATGGATCATTCTTCCCCACTGAAAGCTATCAAATTTTCTCATTCATAATTATATAAATAAGGTTGCAGTCAAACAGAATGATTTCTTTTCAGCAAGAATAAACACAGAACTAAATACAGCACTGTTCTTCTTTAACAGACAAAAGCATAGATCTCTAAATACAAACCAAAATAGACCTTTCAAACTTAAAATTTGTTTTTTGATTTTTCTTAAAATGTGTGACACACTTGATCCACGATTTTGCTCGGATAATAAATGCCTTGGGGACAGGGTACTTCGGTCACTCTTACAAATAAGTAAAAGAGGAGGAGGAGAGAGGGACTAAGGAAGGAGGGGGTTGAAGCATGAATGCAAATAAAGCAACATCAAATTCTGCATAGTCCATAAGACAAAGTGCTATCACCATTAGCACTTGGACCAGAAAAACAAATTTATTTGGTAAGATGTTTTCTACTATGGTCTATAAAAATGATCCACCTCAAGGAGTATGAGACCTGAGGCCATGTCAACGATGCAAAAGAGCAAATGAGACAAACTGCAGATATTACTGACTAGATTACTTGTCACAAAATGGGTGATAAATCCACATGGCCTTAGCAGTTGGCACATTCTCGGCACATGCATAGAAGAGCATTATCAGTTGCACTATAGTTGATAAGGACTATCTAGTTATTTTATATATGTATAAGCATTTCTACATATACTTGTAAGAATACCTTTCTTTTTTTATGGTTCCATTTTCACAATTTTCCAGGTCCTCCAATTCAATTTCATAAGTGTAAGCAAATACACATATTTTCATATATCTAAAACCAATACACATACCAAAAACCAATAGCCAGGACAACATCACGTTATAACCCATAACCATTTCCAAAGATATCTTCAAAGTCATCAATAGGAATTTCAACTAACAGATTGCTGACTTGGAGTCCGTCATAAAAACTTGATCAATTATTGGAATATGATTTAGTTAAAGATCAGCAAAAATAATGGAGTTTCTATCCAGGGACCACAGATCAGATTGGTTTTGCAGTGTAAGAACTTAAGACACTTGGGTGAATCAAAATCATCCAGAAGCAACTGCTCATTTCCTCACCACCAGATGCAAAATAAAATCTTTACTCCACATACATTTTTTTATTTCCAATGCTTTGAATAGTGCTAAAATCCATTCCACTAAATTTCAGTTCAACGTGAAAAGAGAAAACAATAACAAATAGCCTTTATTTCAATCACTTCTTTATTTTGACAATTACATCATTTTAGCAAAATGGGCAAAACTTACTTAACCAGAGAGAACTATGATATACAAGAAGCAATGACAATGTGTACAAATCTCACCTATTCCAGCATACCCATTATCCCAAATGAGAATATAAGAGTAACCCATCAACTGAAAGCCTCAAATTTTCCAACTTTACGAAATACTATTGCACGGGTTTCAACAAAAACCTCTATCCAAACCTAGCATTTTCTTAAACTGGATTTACTAAAACACGTTCTCCAATAAAATCCCCTCTATCACAAAATGAGCAAGATATTCTTCCATTTTAGCTAAATGAGCACCCAAAAAAAATTCTAGAAAAACCAAAAGACAAAACCCCAGTATAAAACAAGCCATATAAATCTGAGATTTCAACAGCAAAAAGAAAAAGAAAAAAAGAAAGGAATCAGCCAAAAAAAAAAAAAGCATACCTCATGCACAAGTTGGAAGAAATCTAGCAAATCCCAGAAAACTCTCTCTCTGCTTCTTCTTCTTCTTCTTCTTCTACACAAAGAAAGAAAAAAAAGAACCAAAAGAAAAAAAAAAAAAAAAAAAAAAAAGGAAAAACCCAAAAAAAAAAAAAAAAAAAAAAAAAAAAAGGGATTCTTTGATTCCACAGATGGTAAACCAAAAAAAAAACTTGCCTCAAACAATCTTCTCTCTATCATTCGCTCAAGTTTGCTTCACACTTAGCACCCTTCTCACTTCCACTTTTTTAACTTCAAGGAAATCTCCCCTATGACTACTCGGACTCAAAAAAGGCTCTTATGGACACGTGGCAAAGTCCCATTAAGTATTTTTGATAAGTTAGTTGGGACCCACTTGAGAAATGAGATCAAATCGGTTGATTTAGGGCGGTCCGATGTGTGGAAAGTTGGGAAGTAGTGAACCGGTCAGGTCAAGGACGTCACGGGTGGGTCGGTCAAGGAAATGTACATATAATTGGTGGGAGGAGGGACCCAATGGATGATGTTCCCAATAATAATTTTCCTTTATGCCACGTGTACGGTAAGATCATCATCAGGATAATTGTTGTGCATGCGGACACGAATTTTAAAAAAAAATTCATTAATTTGAAAAAAGAAAAAGGAAAAGAATAATTTTGAAACCATCTTGACGTTTGACTGGTTAGGACTTATTACTTAGGACGTACAAGGGTACGACTTACGAGCAGCTTGTGAAAATGTATTATTGCATAATAATCGTTTTGTAGTGACATCTATTTTTCTCTTTTTGTGACGTTCGGTACGTAATAATTAATAAGAATTATATTTTAAAAAAATAACGAGGTAATATAATTTTTAAAAATAATATATTATTGTATTTAATTATATGCAAAAATTTTATTTTAAATTCTTAAGAATAATATATTATTGTGTTTAATTATGCATATAAATATTGTGTATTAAAAAAATTTAAAAAATTATAATTAATACTCATATATGTTAATAACATAATATAATATTTTTTAAATATTTAACCCATAATATTAGCACTAATATTTTAAAAAGTATTAAATGAAATTATATTTTATAAATATTTACCCTCACAACACAACACAACAAGTAGTCCATAAAATTATTAAATAATAGGGGTCTCATAATGTTAGCTAAAATCCTCTATGTTCAAAAGTTCTAAACATGAGACCATATACTCCAATAAGGTTCTAACTCTGTCATCAAAAGTTGTAAATATTAGACCATATACTCAAGTTTGTAAATATAACACCAAAAGCTTCAACCGAACTCACTTCAGAAGAGATAGAAACGTCATTGGATCTACTACGTTGGAATATATGGAGTTGAGACAGTAGCAAAACTTAGTAAGTGCAAATCTAACCTCCTTAGTCAGAATCTCACGCAAAACAAGTGGCAAAAATGTTACATCAAAGTATGACAATCATGTGGCTTCATGCTAGTCAGCTTCAACTCTTTCACTAGCACTAAGTTCTTGAAGTTAGATATATACCCTTTTGGGACTTTGACAGAAGCAAGTCATTCACAAGATTTTTTCTTCTCTTGTCTCGATAATGTGTACTTAGCCAGAGGTAAGTAAGTGCGGGAGCCTGTTTTTTCAGGAGCCAAATCACCTCTAATGTTCAATTTCATGAGATCCAACCGTGCATTGAGGTCGTCTTTAGTTTACTAGGGATGTCAAGTAGTGTGTTAATTATCGACTCACAAACATTATTCTCAATGTGCATGACATCTAAGTAGTGGCAAATTAACAATGAACTATAATATGGAAGATCAAAAAAATTGACTTTTTCTTTTAAAGTCTGATCATCGGCTCATTATTTGCTTATTTCTTCTTCCTGAATACCACTTTTATGTTATTGACTATCTTAAACACTTGTTTATCTGTCAAAGGTCTTCGTGGTGATCTTTCTTTTGTTTTACCATTAAAAGCTTTTCTTTGTTTACAGTATCGATGATTCATAGGCAAGAATCTCCTATGGCCATCGTACACCGTCTTCTTTCCATGTTTCAACAGGATTGAAGATGTATCTCTTATGCAAACAGGGCAACCTATGGAACTTTTAACCAAGTCCCCAGATAGGTTTCCATATGTAGGCAAGTTGTTAATGGTCCACATCAACATTGCTCAGAGTATGAAGGAATCATCGCTGGAACGATCGTTAACTTCGATCTCACTTTCCCACAATCTCCTCAACTCGTCAATCAACGGTGCCAAGTAGACATCAATATCATTTCCCAGTTGATTATGTCCAGAAATCAACAAGGTCAACATTAGAATTTTCGCTTCATACACAAGTCTGGCGGAAGATTATAGTTTACAAGGATGATGATCCAAGTAATGTGTTTGCTGCTAAAATTACTATGTGAATTCATCATGTCAGCCGACAACGCAAGGCGGACATTCTTAGGTTCCGCACTAAATTCAAGATTCTCTGCATCAAATGTCTTCCACTATGGAGAATCAACAGGGTGTCATAGCATGCCATCGTCAACCATTTTATCATGATGCCAAGTTAAATTTTTAGCGTGCTCCGGATTTCGATATAATCGCTTTAATCTTGGTTTGATCGGAATATACCTGCACACCTTCACCTGCACACCTTTTTTCCCGTTGGACGAATTTCCTATCCATTGCTACACAAAAAAGCAAACAATAAATATCTCACTTACCAAAACACATAAATCATATAATTATTCAAAACAGCATATTAAAACCCAACACCCAACACTCATATTACTTAAAATCATAAAACATAAACAAAATTCATTATCTACATAATAAATTCAAGACAAAAACTAAAAACCCAACACCCATATTACTCAAAATCACAAAGCCTAAACTAATTTCATCATCAACATGAACAAATGTGATTAAACAACAAACACCCAACATCTATAGTACTCAAACTCATAAAATTTAAGCTATTTTCTTCATTTTTTAATCAAATTTATACAAAAAAATGAGAAAATTAATGAAATTTACTTGATGTTTTTCGCGGATTTGTGGTCCTTCCCGAATTTATGGAGAAAATGACGGCGAACGGAAGGAAGAATGGGCCCATTTGGGGTGGCGACGCTCTCTAGGCGAAGAGATTGGTGGAATAACTCAGGGGGTATTTTGATTTTTGAGTGAATTTTCACGCAATGAAGTTTTTTTAGGTTAAAAACTAGATTCAACGACGGTTTTATGAAAAAACGTAATTAAAGATACCAGTATTAGACGATGTTTTTTCAAAAAATCGTCGTCTATAGTTGTTACGTCAAGTACTATATTTTTAATGGTATGTTTGATGAAGGTTTTGTGTAAAACCGTCGTCTAATTAGCGTCGTCAAATCCACAATTTTTTATAGTGAAATTACTACTTATTAAGAGCCCGTGGGTCAGTTTTGTACTATTTAAAACTAGTAAAGTGAGATAACTTTTATTTTTTAGGGTTAATTTTAATCCTAAAACTTATACAAAAAGATAGGAATTCCACAATTTTTTTAAAAGGTTAATTCCACAAATGGTTCTTGAGGCTTACACTCAATTCCATTTTAATCTCTGACTTTTCAAACGTGACACAGATGGTCCTTGAGGTTTTATTTTGTTTCAGTTTCAATCCTTATATTAATTAGGCATTAAAATTTAATAGAATTTGTGTAAATTTAATAGGTCTATCTGTGAAAATTAACTTTTAATTTTTTGTATTGTTTTAGTCTATTAATTTTATATGTTTCTAATTATAGTTCATAATTTTTACATATTCTGTCAAATATTTAATATTAAATTAACAGAACAATTGAAACTAACATATAAAACCTTAAAGACTAACCGTACAATATTTAAAAAATTAGGGACTAAAATGAGATTGAGCTAAACATTATGACCATTTGTGCGATTAAAAATATCGTATAGCTGTTATCAGTATTTTTTGAATATTATATTCATTGTTTTTAAATATTTATGGCATGTGAAAAATGATTCGCATAACGAACCTGGACCCATTTCAAATAAGCGTACATACGATCATGAAGGGAACCGCCCAGATTCCAAAATCTACTTTTTAAAATTTGACACTTTAAAATGTTTTTTTTTACTATTAATTATTAATTAGCACTTTAAAGTAAATTAACATCTTATATAGCTGTATCTTTCCTTTTAATTCACGGTATATATCCCATGAATCACTCAAATTCAAACAACAACAAAACAAATTTTAAGCAGCATCATCGCATCTAAACCGTTAACCAATTCAATTATCACTTGTTCAACAGAACCGACGGTCTAGATCCAAAATGGCATATAACTAATTATACTTGGCTTAAAAAAAAAAGAAGCCCTATATATAGTTGAGTATAGACTTCGTTGAAATTGAATGCTTAATCACTTCCACTCTCATTACTCTCCTTCTTCTCCGAGAACTTCTCACTCCTCATAACGGCCATGGCGGAAATACGGACGGCGGAAGAGGGCGTCCCATCTAGAAAGGCTCCGGCGAGGAGCTACTGGCGATTGAGCAAGGAGGACTTCTTCCCGGAGCCGTCGTTCGAGAATTTCACCGCGTACAGAGCCGCCGTCTCCGAGACCTGCTCGCGGCTGAAAGATCGGCTCCTCGACCGGTCGACCGACGAGACGGAGCTCGTGGAGCTCCGCAAGCAGAGCGAGCACGAGATGAAGCGCTGCCTAACATGGTGGGACCTCATCTGGCTCAGCTTCGGCTCCGTCGTCGGCTCCGGCATCTTCACCATCACCGGTCAAGAAACTCGCGAAACCGCCGGTCCCGCCATTGTCGTCTCCTACGCCATCTCTGGTACGGACGAATCGCTTCTCAATTTTCTTTTTTCTTTCTTTTTTTTAAAATTTTTAATTTTGAATTTGCATGGATGATTTTCAAATTTTGTGCGTAATAAATTAATAATATGCCTGTAAACCTTACCACTTCTTTAGCCTAAAATAAATGGGCTTTAGTGTTTTCGACTATTTCTCTTAATAGTTTCTCACAAAGTTAAAAAAAAAAAAAAAGAAAAAAAGCTTAAATACTAGATTTGAAAGGAAAATTAGGTTGAATAGGAAGTAGGTAAAACTTGTTAAATATGAAGGGTGCTAATGTGATTAGTGCATTGAATTTTAGTATTATTAATCTATACTCTGTAGTATGTGATTTAAAACATGTCTTATTTGATTCGTCCAATGAATATTTTCTGAACTCGTCACTCGTCTCAGGTCTCTCGGCGCTCCTATCGGTCTTTTGCTACACTGAATTCGCTGTTGAAATCCCCTGTGCTGGAGGTTCCTTCTCTTACCTACGGATTGAATTGGGGGATTTTGTTGCGTTCATCGCAGCGGGGAACATTCTATTGGAGGCTGTGGTAGGAGCTGCCGGGCTAGGGAGGTCGTGGAGTTCATATTTGGTGAGTATTTTCTGGGACGACCCTGATTTTCTGAGAATCAAGGTAAATTCATTTGCGGAGGGCTTTAATCTTTTGGATCCGATTGCTGTTGTGGTTCTCTTAATTGCGAATGGCATAGCTATGACAGGGACAAAGTTAACTTCTCGCTTGAATTGGATTAGTTCTATAATGAGTGCTATGATCATTGTGTTTATTATTGTGGTGGGGTTTGCTCGTGGTCATACTTCGAATTTGAGTCCATTTTTTCCATTTGGGGCAAAGGGTGTTTTCGAGGCTGCAGCGGTCGTGTACTGGTCTTATACTGGTTTTGACATGGTTGCCACTATGGCTGAGGAAACTAAGAAGCCATCTAGAGACATACCGATTGGTTTGCTTTTTTCAATGAGTGTGATCACTGTGATTTATTGTCTGATGTCTTTTGCATTGTCCAAGTTACAGAAGTACAATGAAATAGATCCAAACGCCGCGTATTCTGTTGCTTTTGCAAAAATTGGGATGGATTGGGCTAGGTACTTGGTGAGTGTGTGTGCCCTCAAGGGAATGACTACTAGTTTGCTTGTTGGATCTATGGGGCAAGCTCGATACACCACGCAGATTGCCAGATCACATATGATTCCACCATGGTTTGCTCTTGTTCACCCAAAAACTGGAACTCCGATCTATGCTACTCTTTTGGTAACCATTAGTAGTGCTATAATCTCATTCTTTTCCAGTTTGGATGTGTTGTCAAGCATTTTCTCCTTCAGTACGCTCACTATTTTTATGCTTATGGCGGTGGCACTGCTCGTTCGACGGTATTATGTTAGGGAAGTGACCGAGAAGGTTGATTTGGTTAAGTTTCTTGTGTGTTTGTTTTTCGTCATTGGTTCTTCCGTTGGTATTGCAGTGCTTTGGAACACAAATGTGGAAGGGTGGATTGGGTATTCAGTGGGTGCAGTTATTTGGTTTCTCGGGAATTTGGGGATGGCATTGCTTCCGAAACAGCGTCTTACACAGGTTTGGGGGGTTCCTCTTGTTCCATGGTTGCCCTCACTGTCCATAGGGATGAATATTCTTCTCATTGGTTCTCTGGGAACTGTTGCGTTTTGGAGGTTCTTTATTTGCAGTGCACTAATGCTTGGCTACTATTTGTTCATTGGTCTTCATGCAACTTATGATGTGGCTAATCCAGATGGACAGTATAATGTGGCTAATCCAATTGAACAGAAATGAAGAATTTAGGTAAAACAATATGGCACAGCCAAAGGGTGGTGCCTTAGAAGATAGTATTACCTTTATTATTGTTATTGTCATTTATTTTCTTTTTTGCTGCTGATAAATCTCGGTATATAGCTTAGGATATCTAGTGTGGATAGTTCTAGTTAAATTTATTTGAGTCTGTTATCTCCAAAGAAGATTACTTGAAACGAGAGACCTATTATAGTTTCTATTTTTCATTAGTTTCTTTCGAACAATTTTTAATTTGTTTGCTTATGGATGTGACTCACCATTTTAGTTAAATACCGTTCCATTGAACATAATTTGCAAGGTCTCATCTCAGAGTAGGCGAACGGCCATAAGACAATTAATTAGAAATTGTTCAATATCTTTTGGTGAATCATATTGGTGATCCAAAGTAATGTGAAAATCATTCATTTGAGCTGGTCGGCCAACTTTTATGAGCTAATCGAAATAATTCATCCGTTTAACTTGTCTTGTTATAGGTTATCCACTTGGCATTAATGCCATTGTGCTCTGAAAACAAAAATAAAAAAGAGAGGCATAGTGGGCATGTTTGGTATTGTTTTCAAAATGATTTTATTTTTAGTATACTAGTAATAAAAAATTGGTCATCACTTAGCACATAAAAGTTAATATACTAGTAATAATATAATAATTGTTATAATATTGTTAATAAGTATACTAGTAATTTAATTATATATAATAAATGAAATACTAAATAATTAAAAAATAGTAACTAATATGTTAGTAATGTGCTTATAATTATTAGTTTATTAGTATAAACTATTATATTAATAAAAAGTAGTATATTAATAATTTATTAGTACACTATTTACTAATTATATAATTAACTTTCAGTTAAATAATTAGTTAAGTAATTACTACTATACAACAACCTATTATTAGTGTATTACATGGTTACTTTTTGGTAATTAATTTTAAATAATAATTAATTACTAAACATTACTGATTAGAATATTAAAAAATTAATAATTTAGATTTTAATATTAATTATTGATTGAGTAATTAATATTTATTTATTAATTATTTACTGAATAATATTTTTATAATTAATATATTAATTATTAAATTTATTTAATAAACTATTATTAATTATTCCAATCTTAATATATTACATAATCATTGTTTGGTAATTAATATTTATTGATTAGTAATCACTAATTATTATTTGTTTTTATTAATAAATATAAATTCCATATTACAAATTAATATTTTAATTAATAATTAAGTATTTACCATCTATTTGTTTATTATTAATTATTTACTAATTAATAATTAGTTTATTATATAATAAATAATTAATCATTTAATATAACACTGTTGATAAGTTTTAGAAAATGAAAATAGAAAAGGGAAAATAACTTTCAATCATTTTTTAATTCCTTCATAAAAATCATTCTCACTGTTTTTTATTTTCATTTTTGTTTTTAAAATATTTGCAAAACAAATACAGTTTAAAGACCGTTTTCATTTTCGTACCTTAAAATACGTGCAAAAACGTTTTTAAAAACGCTCATAAAACAATTCTAAACACTAATAATATTTTTTTAAGACATGTCAATTGTCAACCATTTTTAATAACAATAAGCATAAGTAAATATAGCCAACTGCTAATATTTTTCAAACTAAAAAATGATATCAAATTTTTACAATAATAGTGTAAACTTATACTGAAGTTTTAAATTTTAACCTAATTAAAATGATATAGTTGTATGAAAATCAACAATTTCATATTATGCATATTGATGATTGAAAAAAAAAAGTTGAAAAAAATAGATCAATTTTCTCTACTATAAATAATATAGATGTATAGTAAAGAGTATAGAAATTCACAAGTTAAAATATTTAGGAAAATTAAAAAAAAAAAGATATTAAGTGAGGTGTTTAAATAGAAAATTAATGAAATACAGTATTTTGATTCAAAACAATTAAAGTACAAGATTTAAAAAAGAAGGAAAAAAAAAAAAAACAAGCAAGTGCTAAAGCAAAAGCATGTAGCACAATGTCTGAAGAAAAATTTCAAAGTGTGAAGGTAAGAAGTTGAAGAACAAAGAGTGCAACACTCATCTACACTTATAAAAAAATCCGACGAAAAAATATTTAAAATAAAATTAAAAAACAAAAAGGAAAAAAAACCTTAAGATATAAAAAAACTTGATGATAAGAATTTAAAATAATTAAAAAACAAAAATGCAAAAAAAAAGCTTAAAAATACAATTTAAAAAAAAGAAAAAAAAAGCTAGAGAGCAAGGAAGCCAACATGTAAGTGCAAAAAATTTAAATTTAAAATATAATTAAAAAACAGAAATGAAAAAAAGTTTTAAAATACAATTTGAAAAAAATTAAGAAAAAAAGAAAAAGAAAAAAGCTTGAAAACAAATAAAAAAGCTTAAAAATACAATTTAAAAAACTCTTGAAAGCAAGCAAGCTAATAGTTGAGGTACAACAATTTTCAAACCATCATGCACACTTCTATATAATAGAGATTAAAAAATTTAGATAAAAATATTTAATGAGCAACATTTACATCAAAATGAAGGTTTCTCTTAAAGAAGCAAACAAAAAAAAAGGATATAAAATAAAATAAAATAAAATAAAAGACCAAGCACAGATGCAGTTGAAGTACGAAACTAAAAAGGAGGCGATCCACACTTCTATATATACTGGCATGAGAGACGCGCTCTAGGCACGTCCCTGCTAGTAACAATTTTTTCTTTTTTTACTTTGCTATTCCATGTTTTTTGTTAAATTTATATTTGAAACTACTAAGTATGTTAAGTGATGTTTCAATAAAAAAATATTTTTTTAATTGTTTCTTTATGAAAATAAATAAATAAACTTGCAAATAATTTAACTTATTACTTTGAACTTGAACACGAGATGCTAATAATATTTTTTAAGGGATGCCTACAATGTTTTAATAACAATAAACATAAATAAATACAGTCAATTTATATTTTTTTTCAAACTAAAAACTGATATCATACAAAATTTTCAATAACAGTGTAAACTAAAAGAAAACTGAAAACTTACTCAAAAAAAAAAAAGAAAAAGAAAATTAAAAACTAATTCTACCTACAAGTTAAAACCACATCCTGAAAACTTATTATGAAAAAGAAAAAGAAAGGAAAAATACAAAAAAAAAAAAAAAGAAAGGAAAATACAAAGCTTGGAAGCAAGCAACCATACTGTTGAAGAACCAAAATTTGAAAACAACATCCGTGCTTCTATATATAGTATATAATATAAGATAGATATAGAAACAAATCCTAGGAGTTCCTTGTGGAATCTTAAGTTTGATGTTTGGTATATGGATTCGTTCCCTGATTCAAATCATGATTTGTGGTTCGTTACAGTATTTTCTCTCACAAAAAATACACGTAAATTAAAAATGATTCTAATCACATGGTTCTAATCCATGAACCAAACACATGTTTAGGGTCTGTTTGAAGATTTGATGGGTGAGGCAAAGGATCTCAAATCTATTATATTTGTTCACAGAATAGTGACTCATTATTTGAGGAATTATTTTCTCCAACAAAAGAATATTGTGACCATATTTGCACAAAATCTCACTTAAGTAAAAGTTACACTACATGAGATGTTTATGAGAATAAAATTGAAATGTAATAATTTTTTAAAGTTCCCTAATCTCCTCTGAGGTAGTTGAGGTATAGTCACTCATCCAATTTAGGATTTCATCCCGCTCCATTTGATGATTGCTACTTTATTATTATTTTTTTAGTAGTTACTATATAACATAATATAGGGACAGAGAAGGCCATGCCAACAAGGATCGTCCGACACTGGTTGAGTTTCATGGACAAGTCTGTGTGAGAGCTAAGATACAACATCCTCTTGAAAATAGCATCTGTTTGCCGTTTCATTTAAGAAACAATATATATATATATATATATATATATATCTAAAAAACAATGAAAATATATTGAAAGCCATTTTTCCCTTTTCCCTTTTCATTTCTCAGAACGTATATACTTTTTTTTTTTTTTTTCTGTTGAAAATGTAGAACTTATATACTCATCATATACTTTCAAATACATAACAGAACCTTAGAGTATGTTGTTCTATGTTTTTATTTTATTATAACAGAACCTTAGAGTATGTTGTTCTATGCTTTTATTTTATTCTAACTTAAAGTGAGGGATTCAAACACGTCATCTTATGTTGTGTGTTCTATGCTAACTATTATTATATATGATGTTAGGAAACGTGAGTTTCCTATATTGTGGGCTACATATTTATTCAATAATTATATTAAGCTATTTAATTAATTGGGTTAATTAAGTGATTTAATTATGAAAAGCCCAAATAGTCCCCTAACAGGGTATGAGCTGAATGAGTGGATACCCATATTGACCTAACAAGGTTTAATGAGAGCATAATGGGGCAGTATATAAAAAAACTTAGGTTATAGTCCTCAACGTCAAATCATTCGGCAGTTTTTATTCTTCCCCATCTAGAGAGAAAACACCCCATTAAAAAACTAAGGAGATTTGACTGAGGAAGACAATCACCGCCGTGTTTGTTGTCTTAGAGAATTCTACTAGAGATTCAAGGCTGCATCAATGGAGACATGTATTTATCCTAACTTATTTTCTTAGTAATTTGTTGTGATGATTCCTGAAATGTGGAATAAGGATTTAAAGATCCAACAAGTGGTATCAGAACGGTCATCACATTAAATTATTGAGAGAATTTTTATATTCAATATCTCTGGCTGAATATCATGTTGATTGATTCATATGATTTTTCTTTTGTTTATGAAATTTTAGATATGCTTTATTTTGTTAAGAAAAACATGGATATAGATATAATCATGTGAATTTTTTGGTGATTGATTTTAATCAAATTTGTTGAATAAATGCAGAATTATTTATTATTCACAATTAGGGATTAAGGAAATTTGGTAAAAAGAATTTATTAGAGAAGTTTTTTTTCCGGATGGTTCTGGAAATTTTTTTTTTCCTTCGTTCTTTCTTCTCTTCGAATGTTGTGGTCGGCGGCAGCCTTGGCCGTTGGCGCTGAGGAATCGAGGGTGCGGCCGTTGGCCCGCGCCGATGGGGGAGCCGCGGCGGCCACGACCGCCGCGTAAGGGAATAAA